TGGTAAGGGGCATGACATTTCCTAACCAGGCGCCGGTAACCAAGTACCGGATGAAGTGCTTCTTATTCTTACCCAAAAATTATCAGTATTCAACGTTTTATGTTAAAGGGGTCCTATTATGCTTTTTCACTTTTTCAACTTTAGTTAGTCTGTGATGTTGCTGTTTGAGCATAAAAAAGATCTGCAAAGTTACAAAGCTCAAAGTCCACTTCAAAAGGAGATATTTTATTTAATAGAAATCACATTTCAAAAACTACAACAAACGACTCGTTTGGACTACAGCGCATATTTTCTGGGATTTGTGATATCACAAATATCGACGAATGGGACGAGACCTGGTTGAGCTGCACTAGAGAAGGCAATGAGTGTTATCACTATGTCGGAGACACGCTAGTTTTCCCAAGGCAGACGAACTTAGAGTGGTTACAATCATCTGGGTTTAAATTGCGCTCAAATTGATTTGATTTTGATGCAATATTTACACTGAAGCTCGCAGGAGACTATGGTAAGGGGCATGACATTTCCTAACCAGGCGCCGAGTGCCAAGTACCGGATGAAGTGCTTCTTATTCTTACCCAAAAATACAAAATGGAAGAAAGGGTTCAAACTGAACACAATCTTGCTACTCAAGCTGTGTATGAACGTCTTTTATATATATTTATTTGCATCTTTTCCATTTTGCCTTTACTTGTACTTTTACTTTCAATTCTTAAGTACGTTTAAGATTTTAAAAATACTTTTCATACTTAAGTACAATAAATATCACATACTTTAAGACTTTTACTCAAGTAATATTCTAAACAGTGACTTCAACTTCTACCAAAGTCATTTTCTGGTAAAATAGCTGTACTTTTACTTGAGTATGGCTTTCAGGTACTTTATACACCACTGCATGTGCTGTATGTGTGCATTGTACGTGCTCAGGGTCTTCCTAAAAATAGATCATGGGAATGTGGCATCCTTGCCACTCACTCATCACAGTTCATATGGAGTCCAGCGCTCATGAGTGTGGTTACTGTTGAGGCTGAACAACAAAGCCTGACCTCTCATCCTCAGAACAAAAATAAGGATGTTCTTGCATTACAAATGTACATTGAGATTTTTGTTTGTAACAGGTTATTGCACAATACTGGAGCATCAGTCTCGGCGATTAGTCCAAGAGATGCTCTCAGTGATGGTCCACACCTTCTGTAAGTGCTGTTTTGGACTGCAAGACTGGAGTTTGGCTTTGCAGCTCCAAACTCTCCCTCTCCCTTGATAGAACCGTCAGCACTGAGACCTGAGCCAGGGCACAGTCTGATCTCTGCATCTTGGCTCTCATAATGTCTTCTGACATTGCTAAGAGCCAATGGGTCAATGACTAATTAGTGTCCAAGATAAAGAAGATGATGTAAAAAAAAATCTAGTTCTAATCTTAAGAGTCTTCTCTTCTCTCTCATGATGGTTTCATATGGTTAAGAAAAAATCTATTTAACAAAAAAAAGTTTAAGTTGCAGTTACAGTTACAGTGAAAAATATGAAATGGTATAATCAAAAAGAAAAAAAAATATTTTCCTTAAACCTCAAACACATGTATGCATCTTAATTATTACTTTCAAAAATGTTTTTAAATATATTTTTCAAATGTCCTCATTTATTAATTACTAAATATCATTGTTTTTGGTAAGTCGCACTGCATGACAATTTGCAGCCTAAACTAAATTTAAAGAGATTTATGGACCCTGACACACAGTCATGCAGGAGTCCTGTCTACTATATAATTTCCTGCTTTGTTTTGTTTTTTTCCCCCCGAAGCTTTACTTTCTCTTGCAAAACTTTTTTTTTATTGAAAGAATATTGCGTTCCCCAGAGAAACTTTGCATTCACTTGCAAAACATTTGCGTTCCCCCGAGAAGCCTTGTAATTGCCTGGAAAACATTTTTGTTCTCTCACAAGACTGTTGCATTCACTTGTAAAACATTCACATACTACTGAGAAGCTTTGCGCTCACTCACTCGCAAAACATTTTAATTCTCTTGCAAAATGATTGCGTTCCCCAGAGAAACTTTGCATTCACTCGCAAAATGTCCGCATTTACTTGCAAAAATTCGTGTTTCAATGAGAAACTTTGTATTCAGTCACAAAAAAGTTGTCCAAGAGAAGTTTTTTTCTTTTGTTAAACTTTTTTGTTCTCTTGAAAATAATGTTGTGTTCCCAAATTTTGCGTTCACTCGTAAAACATTTGCGTTCCCCCAAGAAGCCTTGCAGGTGCTTGCAAAACATTTTTGTTCTCTCGCAAGACTATTGCATTCACTTGTAAAACATTCACGTTCTCCTGAGAAGCTTTGCGTTCACTCTGTCGCGAAACGTTTTTATTCTCATGCAAAACTATTGTGTTCCCCTGAGAAACTTTGAGTTCGCTTACAAAGCACTGAAATATAGAACGCAAACATTTCTTGGGTGAACACAATACTTAGTGAGATAACGCATGATCATTGAAATTTTTTTACCATGTCATGTTTTGGCTGTTTCCTCTCCATCTATTTAGCTGCGGCATTGAAGTGTTTAAAATGACTTAAAGCTGCTCAACAGTCTGTCCCAGAAGGCTAGTGACTGCAGCGGAGATGGGATTGTGTCTATGTGTGTATGTAGGTCTGTGGAGTATTGATTGTTCATGACTCATAACAATATGTCTTGTCAGTATCCACACACAAGCAGAGCAGAAGCCCCCCATTGCGACCTCTGTGCCCCACTTAAGGGGTTGCCATGACAACTGACCTTTCAGCCTGTGGTCCTGCGGTTTTTAAGTATTTGTTCGTCGTGTGGGTGCGTTTTGGGCTGATGGTTGAGTGGCCCCGTCCCCCGGGAGGACGGCGGTGCATTAGGCCAGAGATGGCATAAACAATTAGAGCTTGGCATCAAGTAGGGGTGTGCCATATCATACCATCCACTCTAATACCGGTATACATTGATAAAAAAGTGTCATATCGCGATATCAATGATATAGCGATGCGATGACGAACGGCGGATATACGTCCCTACCGCGTACAACAACAACACCACAAACCCAATAGGTGTGTTCGACTTGAAGCAGCACTGCGCAGACTGATCGGTGTATGACATCAAAGTATCACAAGAGCAGTTCTAGAGCATATTCGAGCGCACACTTTTACCGTCAAAAATAGGCGAGGCGCATATCTTTAGTGAAGCAGCACGGAGAGCCGCTTTTGGAACGCTTCTGAAACGTGCTGCGGCGCCGCTGGTGTAAACACAAGCATTGACTATAGTGGCCACGTCTGAGCCGTAACGCACCGCAGACACTGCAGTGTAAATTAGGGGTAAATAAGGGGTAAGTCACTCTCACGGTATTTTGACGTCATACTTCGGTCTGCTTAAAGTCGAACACACAGCTGCTGCTGCCACCTTATGACAATAGATTTACACTTGGAATCAGGTAGTCTGTCATCGATGACAGTAGCTCATTGGAAAAGGATGGAAAATGCCCTTCATTTTGTTTGCAATAATAAATGCTGCTGCCTGCCAGCTGGAATCACCAATAGAATGTTGTTCCATGTTTGTTTTCTATATCGTCATAAATATCGTTATCGCAAATATTCTTGAAATATCGTGATATAATTTTGAGGCTATATCGCCCACCCCTAGCGTCAAGTTTTCCAAGAAACACAATCTGACAGTGTCTTTCAAAGCAGAAGATAATCACATTATCAAGAAGAGGCATATCCAGACATATGGGTGGCTGATACTACTTGTTTTTTGTTGTTGTTTTTGTTCAGACTTTTATCTATGTAATGAAGCAATAAGCCATAACATGCCACTCTTTACTGTGATTTAACAGTAAAAAAGTGATGGTAAGGGGCATGTAGGCATAAATGTTCAACGCATGCATTTACTTAATATGTCAAAATTAAATCTTGAAAGCAATGTTTATTAGTGCATATTATACCATCAAAATAATTTTTCCACCATTTCGGCCCAACTGTGTTTTTGGAGACTCCAAATCCAATCAGTTCTTGATGTGTGTGTGTGTGTATGTGTGTGTGTATATATGTATACATATATATATCATTTCCCCCCCTTGTTGAATGTATCATTTTGCCTAGAAATATGTCATATTTCAGTAGTAAAAATGATTTTGGAGATGTTGACCAATGTGTGACAGTAGTTTAACAGTCTGTAGTCTGTTTACAGTTCCCAAGAGAAAAAGCAAGCTGCATTAATATAATGCATTAATGCCCACCCACTTTTTCAGTAGCCTTGGTTCTGCAAATATTTTTTCTATTAATTTTTCCATAAGGATCTTTAAAAAGTCCTAAATAAAAGTTATAAGCCGTGAACCAAACCAACCAGCTATGAGGTCATAAGATTACAAAATTAAAGTTGGCACAAAAAAGCAAAAATCAGACAAAAACATAAGGGTATATGCCTGTATAATTAACAGCCTCAATAAGGAAAAGAACTACAATCCCATGAAGCATTGCAAATGACATAAACTAAAAATGGTGGAGAAATATAAAACAATTGATTTAAAATATGAATTGTGTATATACTGTATATAAACACAAAATATGAATATATACACTGCTTCATTGGATGGCTGCTGAGGAATTCTGCTCTTAAACATGATTATTTAATAAATAAAAAGCATATACCATTGATTTTAACAGCCTTATAGCTCACGGCAGGTATGTTTTCAAAGGTTTTGGGGATTTTTAGTTCAAGAACCCGACTGTTACATTAGAATTAAATAAACGGCTTCAAATGTGGCTCAGCAAATCAAAATTGGAGTTGTGTTGTTATACAAATAGTGTAAGAGTAAAGCAACATTTACTGACATTTAAATCTGAGCATCAAAATGGTCATTATAGTGTGACTATCCATGTGTTTGTTCAGACTTCCTCACAGATAAGATACAAATTTATGATTTTGAGCTTCAATTTACCAGAGACAAAATTGTTTTTGACCGAAAATTGAGAGAATTTCATTAATGTTGCAGTACAGCGATGGCAATACTGTGGTACGTTTTGATATTTACCGAATTAGAGAAAGATTACTGTGTGATATACAGTATACTGGATATGTGTGCAAGGCTGCAAGCAGAGCCACACACATGCTTGATGCCTGGACTCCTCTCGGCCCTGCTTGAGTTAGCTAACGTGATAAATCTAAGTAACAGAGCATGTTGTGTGGGAGGATGAGCTGTGGAGGGAAAACCTCAGACGTCTCAACAGTTTCTTCAATGCACTAACTCTGGTGAGCTGAGTAAGAGCAATAGCTTTTAGCTGGAATCTAAACTGGATTAAGAAACCTTTTAGATAGTGTGAGATTATATATGTCGTCATGCATTTATGAAATTGATGTTCATAAAGGTGTAACCTAATCTCAGAGCACGCCTGCTGCAGAGAGAGATAGTGTGAAGATGTAAATTGATACGGTTTTTCTATTGTCAATCTATATTGGCTACAAATAGGCTCTGGGATCAACTGTAGGTCATTGATGTTAAAGAGGCAACAGCATAATAAGAGATACTTCCCTTTGCAATCAACTAAATACAGTTTAAAAGCCTCTATCGAACCTGAGTGCACATCTATATAGAGGGTGACTGATGGCAGATACTTACTGTTTGCTAAGGCAATGTTCCTGGTTCGGTGTTATGACATTTTTTGTCTGTGCATTAAAATTAATGACTTGACTTTTTTTCTGAATTCAGAAATGTGTCTATTTTTTGGGTGGCATAAAGTCAACTTGCAGTGTCAGTTTGGTATGGTATGACTGCCCTGATATGGCAATGAAGAAAAATATTTCTTTAAAAAAAGAAATGTTTTAATCTTCATGTTGTGTTCTGGTCATTTTGACCAGGTTTTCAGGTTGAAGCAGGTTTTCTTTTTCCTGAAAATGTTAGCTGATGTTATCATATTGGACAAAAACTAAATGACTTTGCTCACGCAGGGTATAACAACTGCCCCAAATTATTATTTTTGTACTTTTGTATTTTTCCACACCATGTTACATTTGTGGTACTCCTGGTCAAAAATGGCTGGTGTATTATTACCAAATATTGGATTTAATCTTTTTTTCTCATTCTTTAATTTAATCTTTTTTTGAATGGTTTTGTTTATCCTTTGATAAAACACATCAGTAATGACTTTGACTTATCTGTCATCTAATGAGTAATGTGTTTCTTGTGTCTTTGCAGGGCGAATATCGATGAAGTTGAGACTGATGTTGTGGAAATAGAAGCCAAGCTGGATAAGGTATGAATAAACTCTGTTTGAAATAACTTGATTTCATTTGATCAGTGTCTTCTTTGCCTTGTTTAATTGAGACGTTTGAGGTAGGGATGTTAATTTTAACCAGTTAACCGACCATAAAAATTTTGACGATTAATACAATCAGTTAAATGGTTTTAAAAGTTATTCAATTATTTATTTTTTCAGTAATTTATCAAAGTATTTAAAAAGGTTTGCTGTATGGTTAAAATATGCTACGCGTATAAACAAATGTGTTTTTGGAAAAAACATAAGTTGCATTTTATTGTTTCATTCAGAAATAGGCCTAATGCCGATGCGAGATGTTTACAAACATTATAATAAACACCGTAAACATAGCTAGGCTATTTTAGTTCCCCTTACTCCACAACAAATCCTTTCAATTGACAGTATTTAGAAAATAACAAAAATGTTAAATGTAAGAAGCTATATCTATATAAACGACAAGCCAAAACAAATTCATTTAGGTTCAAACGAGACTGAAACCAACGTTGGGTCTCTCGTTCCACACAAAATCAAATGTTTCCGTATTCGCGATGTATTTGAATGGCAAATTATTATTTATTATGTAGCCTACTTCACTTGCGTTCCAATATCCAATATGTTTTGTATAACATCACGGCGGTGCGGTGATGTAAAGATCAATCCACTGAAGGCGAGCGTAAGTGAGAACCCAAGTGCAGTTTATTTACAGAGTGATCCAAACAATAATCCGAGACACAGACTTGACTTGACATGAACCCATGACGGAAAATGTCCTTTAACGCCACATCATTAAAATCCACCTGGTGACAAAGTCCACAAAAGTCCTCCACATAGTCCTCTATGGCTCAGTTTCCTTGATGGAGGCGTGAAACTTCTGGGTTCATTGTGCTGGTCGTGTATTCTGTAAAGATCAATCCACTGAAGGAGAGCGTAAGTGAGAACCCAAGTGCAGTTTATTTACAGAGTGATCCAAACATCCAAACAATAATCCGAGACACAGACTTGACTTGACTTGACTTGACTTGAACAGACATAGCATGAGCAGACTTGACATAAACAGACTAGACTCACCAACAGCGGGTTAAATACATTCAATACACGACAAAGGCACAATGGGAACATGAAGGCTACTTATAGCAGACAAGGAGGGTCACATGACATGAACAAACCAATGGGGAACAAGACACATGACTAAGATTACCAATCAGAACATGACACATACACAAGGCAGAGAGACATGAGGCAAGGGAAGCATGACACTAACATGGACCATGAAACAATTACAAAATAAAAGACATGGAAAACATGAACATGAAATAAAACACCACATTACAGGTGATAACACTCAAAGGCACAGATTTTACTACATATTTATTTTACTACATAGGTTTTTTTCCATATGTTTGACTGACTGTATTTTAATATGATAATGAACAGGCTGCATTGTCAAGGTAATGCTTAACTGTGTGTGAAGTTTTTTTCCTTCTAACAGTAGAAGAAACTACTCATTTTAGTCATAAAGATAATCGGAATTGTAAAAGGTTTGCCTTTATTTGTGTACATTCACAATAAAAACAAACCTTTGTGCTTTTGTAAGATTAAGCCTAAAGAAAAATAGGATGCCGCTTTCTGTCGTTTCCTTTCGCGCAGCACAAAAATGAACCGAAACTCTTCATACTAGGCTACTTGTTGCACAGTTTTTCTTTCCTTTTCTTCATTTATTATTTAAGTAAAAATATGTTTCTCGTATATCAACATTTATTTGTTCGTCGGTTGTCGGTTAGGAAAAATAACCAAAATGAACATCCCTAGTTTGAGGCCTTCTTAATGCTCAGCTAACTAAGCACTAGCGCATTACTGCCTGGATAAAACAGCATTACAAATGTGCACCGAGCTCAATCCCAGCTCGTACGCCATACAGGATTAGGGGAATTCGAGAGAGAAGTCCATTTAGCATTAGGATGCTGAACATTTGCGTCAGGGAACTGCAGTCTAGCAGGTCTTTGCTGCTTCAGGGTAACCAGGTACAAGGGCAATCTACTCATTATTGCACGTCTATCACAATTTCAAAAACCCCAGACTTTTAATAAGCATCAAATTAGTGTAAGATGCTCAAATAAAAGCATTAAAGGTTGCACAAACTGATTGCAAGATCATACAGCCCTTTGACAGACAGATATTCAACAAAGCTTTCATTGGCTAAGCTAGCATATCGATATTCTTGAAATGTATTGTTGAAGGCCTTAAATTGATAACAGAAGTGCTGCTTTGATGGCTGAAATAAAGATAATTCTTCTCAAAGCAGCTTTTAGCGTGCTAGCATTCACTGAGAATAAAGCACAACATGCTAGAGAGTCGTTTAATCTCTTCCTCTGCTGCTAAAGTTGTAAATAATAATGAATAAAACAATATTTGGGTTCTTGAGCTGTAGGACTGCATTACATATTAACATGTTAGTTAACTCTTTTGAAATTTCTCCTCTGTTAGCCTCATACAGGCTGATTCAGAGCAAATATCCCTGTTGAAAAAACAGCATATGCTGGTTAG